TTCTGGACTTAACTGGCTGGGCTAGGCGGAAAGCAGTACCAATTAGGACTCTAGACTGCTTATACGGGTTTACGCGTCATTGATCCGATCGATAAGTCACTGGTCTCTAATTGGCGGTATCATTACGTTATACATTAACAGGGCACACAGGTCACAAGATATAACACACTCTTTACTATCTTTCATAAACTCATAAATGACTTATATTGTTGATTGAATTAAAGTGCATGTTAAGTCAAATGTATAGTACTATGCTTATAAATAGTTGATACAAACTGGATCACAATTTACGGAGGATTTTACTGAATTATTTTTTGTTCCTGTTGTTTATAGAAGTTTATCTTATTGGTTTTTGTAAATAACGATTGGTAACTGTTAATACAAAGCAGGATTGTGTAACTGATGTTGCATACTGTCAAGCACATTTGCCTTGCAGCTTATTACTTGAATATTGAGAAATCTATTTTGAATCAATTCAATTATGCTTAATGGATTATAATTATTGAACATATTTTGTAAAGACTTTTCAGTTTCTTTCATCACTGACCCATATCAGCTATGGATTTGAGCATCACTCTAGTGATAATCTATGATTTTAAATGCTGTCAAACAGATAATTGAGGAGAAATACACTAAATTTTCAAGTTCGTATCAAATTCAAAAAAGAGTGTCGAAGTATTGGTAATCAAATCATAGGAGTTGACAAACTAGTATATATACAGTACAGAAATAAGGCAATATGATTAGTAATGAAGGTGATAACATAGAAAGGTGAATATTTATTCTTTTGAGAACAGAATGAAAATTAGTTTTATACTATTTAAAGAAATAGACCAGTTGTTCTCATATAGTATAAATGCTTACTTACATATTCCAGTTACTCCTCGTGGAGGAACATAGGCCGCTCACCATCATTCTTCACCCAACTCTGTTCTGAGCAATCGTTTCCAACTGATGTTCATCCTTTCGATGTCTGCTTTCAATTGTCGGTTCAATGTGTTACTTGGTTTTCCTCTTTTCCATTTCCCTTCAGGGCTTCAAGTTAGCACTTACCTCGTGATGCAGTTTGATGATGTCCGAAATTCATGTCCTATCCACTTCCAATGTCTTCTAATTTCCTGGAGCTGGTTTAATCTCTTCTATAGTAGACTGTTTCTGATGGTATCTGGTCAACGAACATTCAGTATTTTACGTAGACTGATGATACACTAGTTGTCCTGTCCTTCATTTGTTGGTGTATGATATGGAAGGGCTAGGTTATCTACAAAGTTCAAATAGTCTAGTTGCATGCAAGTTGTCCATTGTATTCCATATTTTTCCTCAGTTGTCGAGATCTTCATAATCCAGTCAACTATCAAAAGAAAGAGAAAAGGGAGTATTCATCCTTGTCTGACTGCGGTCCTCACTTGGAATTTATCTGTCAGCTATCCTCCATACACGACTTGGCACAATAGTCCGTCGTATGAATTCCGTATGACGTTGATGATTTTCTCAGCTACTTGCACCATAGTGTCGAAGAAGGTCTTATAATGTTCTACCCATACTGTTAAATGCTTTCTCGTAATCAAGGAAGTTAATGTATAGTGACGAGTTCCACTTAGTTGACTGTTCAACAATGATCCGTAGTGTCGCGATTTGGTCTAGGCACAATTGATCTTTATGGAATCCAGCCGGTTGATCTCGAAGTTGAGAGTCTACTGAATCCGGTTCAGCAACAGTTGGTTGAATACTTTTCCTGGTACCAATAGTAATGTGATGCCTGTATAGTTCTCACATTTTCTCATATCTCCATTCTTTGGCATCTTGGTGAGATGTCTTTCTTTCCAGTCCACCGGCACTTGTCTTTTCTCCCAAATCTTCCTGAATAGAACGTGGAGCATGTTTGCAGTTACTTCTATGTGTGACTTTAGTGTTTCAACTGCTATATTGTCAGGTCTTGCTGCTTTCCCGCTCTTGATTTGCCTGATGGTCATGTTAACTTGTTCTGCTGCTGGTGGAGTGACATCTATAAGATGTTCTGTGTGTGTTGCTTCGAAGTTCGATAGATTCAATGGAGCTGACCTATTTAAGAAATTATCAGAGTGTTCTACCTGCTTGTTTCTCTGTTACTGAATTCTAGTGATTGGCTTGCCTTGTTTGTGCATGATTGGTCTCTCGGGTTTATTATATTTCAGTGTCGGTTTTTTTTGCTGCGTCATATTTCTACTTGACGGCTCTAATGCTCTTCTTCACTTTCTTGTTTGCTTCAGTGTATTCGGCTTGTGCCTTGACTTTCCCTGTCCTTGTTCGACTGTTGTTATTTGCTATGTTCTTGTTCTTGATCTCCTGATAATTTTCTAGGGTTGCCATGGCGATCCATTTCTTATAACGATGATTTTTTGTGACCCTGAACCTCCAAACAAGTTGAACTAAGTGCTTCTATAATCCCTTAACGGTTGTGCACCATAATAGATACTTTTCTTTGAGTAGATCGTGTTAGGCTTTGAAGATGTTGTGAGCTATACAGAATTTATTCTCATTTAACTCAGTTAAGCCCTTTTGTTAACTTATTTAGCGGACAAAGTCATCCTTACTATAACAATTCATTGTACCTTTATTATTATTGTACTTGTATGAAATATGTATGCTTGAACATGGTTTACCGCCTACGCATATATTCATTCCGCTAGCTTTATTATTAGCTGCTTAATCGATTCAATGATTCGTCAGTGAAACATGGCCTTTAAGAGTAGAAGACACACGTAAGCTACTAGTATTTGACCACAGATGCCTCAGAAATATTGCTGGCGTCTGATGGGATCACCGGGTAAGTAATAGTGAGGTTAGATGCAGTGCATTAGGGAACGATGCTAAATCAGTTGATGAGGTTGTGAATCTTCACCGACTGAGATGGTTGGGATACGTGTTGCGTATGCCTGAACTCCGATTACCACGACGCACAACGCTAAGTGATGCTGGGGATGGTTGGAAGAAAGTTAGGGGCGGCCAAACCAAAACGTGGCATCAGTGCTTGAAGTCACTAACTTCTAGTCTGAGCCATGTTGGTAGATGCAGACTACTTGGTTGGGGTCCGCGTGACTATCGTAACCAATGGTTGGAGACTCTTGGTGATATGGCTGAGAATCGATCACAATGGCGTCGGTGTATACACTCCCTGTCTTCCCTTAAACTAAGAGATTAGAATCGCTTCATATCTTTTCTTTCTACGTACGAAATCTTTCTTCCTGTACTATATCCTTATATGCAATCTTTCTTTTATATATTTCCACCTCTGAATTAACTAGTTTATGATTCCTGTGTTCGTCTTGTTGTATTAATGAGGTATGACAGCTTGGACCGATGTATATATGTGCCTGGTCCTACGTTGTAGCTGACTGAACTTCTAGGAGAGAGTTTAAGTAATTTAAATTGTTTATTCTGGTTAGTGATTTTTTAGCAAGGTTTTTTTCTATGGGAATTGGTTGCTCACTTTATAAACACAATAAACAGTAACTGTGATATTCACAACTTATATTGCAGTTCCTCAATAGCAACTACAAACTGATTTAACTAATAATCAATAACACACTAAAATAAACAGATTAATATTCAAAACTAAATAAAATCCTGATAATATGTAAGCGAACAAAATTACTTTTTTTTAAAGGTTTTGTCAAAATATATACACACATTAAGTCAACATATGATGTGTTCACATTCAGAATGTCTTGGAAATTGAAAAAATTTCACAATAATTGGAATATATGATTTTATCCTCTTACTTCCTTCAGAGAATGCAATCGAAACATCGACAATCATCGAGTTGTAAGGTAGAAAAGTAAAAATTACGAGCAAATTTAGTAAAGTAGATCATGGTCTCTTATGAAACTATGTACTTTACAAACTGGGTTATTAATAACTTATGGACTGTTTTAGTCATCTATCTCTAAAAGGATCAGCATTTATCCCTAAGTCAAGGAATCTAGTTCAAAAAAATTAAAATTAAAATGTTTTACACGCAAAAAGCTTAGAACTTTATCGATTCAAGCCTTATATTTCCGTTTGGAAGTGACATGTTCCAATCTACTACTAACTTTATGAGCTGTCATTATCATAAATCTGCTTCATCTTTTTAAAAAATCTAACTTCTAAATCGATCACTAAACTAGTAACAATTTTAAAAATTTTCTCTTCATGGAAATTAAAACGGTACGAATACAACTGGACATTTAATTCTTGTTTATTTGATGAGATAGAAAATAAAAGTTTTTTTTAAAAAAAAAATAAAAGCTCAAATAGAAAAGTGAATTTTTGAAACTTAAAAAAATAACTAACAGTTTATCATGTTGACCAACCAAATCAAATAATAAAATAAATACAAATAAAAGGTTTGAATAATTTTTTCTGGTTAGCGTTTTTTTAGCGGGTTAATTTTCTACGGGATGGGATCGCTAACTCCATGCCCAACCCTCCTCCTTTATCCAGGCTTGGGACCGGCAGTAGCCTCCCGGAGGGACTCTAGGCAGAGTTAAATACAATTACATTTTGAAATTAAATAGAATTTATTTAAAAACAATGATTGTTTAAAAAGATTTATTATATACTTTTTAATTTTATATAAGTTCTTTAAGATTATTATCAACACTTACTCATTTATAGTGTTTCCTATTGATTTTTTTTTGTTTTGTAATAATTTGTGCATCAAAACAGGGTTTTTATGATGTTGACTAAATTAACTTTTATTAAAGTACAATAAATTAGTTATATGAATAAAAAAAAGGACATCAGTTTTAATATAAGGTATAAAGTACTTACATGTCAACAGTTTATCAAAGGAATCATTGACTATATATATATATATACCAAGTGATCCAACTACTACAATTTTAAGATTCGTTGTCCAATCAAATGTGTTTATTGATTTTTTTGAACGAATAATTTATCCAATCATATTAATTGATCAATTACCTTTATCATTCAAAATTTTAAAAAAAACAACAACAATAATTAGTTTTAATTTTATGTCTTCTAAATCTAAACGTCATTGTAATAGTGTATTATGGTTTATAACATTAATTATTTTTGCTATACCTATATCATTATGTTTATCATGGATCTATATATTATTAATTATTTGTAATCCATGTTCAGAAAGATTAACTGAATGTACAGAAAGTTTATTAAAAGTAATACAATGGCCATGGACATGTGCTCAAAATATGTTACGTGGTGAATCATATTTAGAATGTTGTTGTTGTTGTTGTTAAATTCAATTTAATTATGTAAAGTAATAATAATAATAATAATTTTTAATCTTTATACAAATTAATTCAATGATAATTTTATATCATATTACATAATAGAAGATACTGATTGGAATTATTCAATATTCATTGAAGCAAAGTTGTTTTGTTTGTTTTTTTTTGAAGAAAAAAAAAGAAGAAGAAACAAACAAACTATTCTGAATGTTTTATCAAATTCATTAATGCCATGCCTTATTTTTTGGCTTTTGTAAAATATTATAATTATGGACTTATGACTGTAAAGCCTGATAATGAAGTAATTGAAAATGATTATTCTCTCAAAGATTCTTCATTTTTGATTATTTATATTTGTAAAGAAGAAAAAAAATGCTCTTTTGTTTGATTGTAAATAACTCATTTTTTCTATAAACTATAACAAAATTATTTTGTATATGCTAATATATGATGAATATTGAATTCATTGTTAAAAATTAGCTAGAAATGAATAATATGATAAAGTAATAAAAGTTTATTGTATGCTTATTTCTTGGATTGTTTGTACTTGAGAAATAATCAAATAGAGATTTGATAACTTCTATTAATTTAATTGATTATTAGTATAGGGGTTGTGGAGATTATTATGTTTTTGATTGAGATCATAAACCGATTGATGTTAGACCATCACAATTGAAAACCTGGAAGCACTGGACGGCTCATTTTGACTAGCTTCGTGAGGGAATTCTTGGAGTTCTAGTGAGAAGCCGTGACCAATGAAGCTAATCCTTGTCGGGTAGAGACAGGTATCTACCTCAGTACAACGGAAGTTGGTCGCGCAATTTCGTGGATTGGTTGGTGTTAAAAACTATCACCATTGGATGCCGGCTCAGTGGTCCAGTTGGTTAAGCGTTCGCGCGCGAGACCGAAGGCCCTGGGTTCGAATCCCGCAAGCGGGATCGTGGATGCGCACTGAGGAGTCCTACAATTGGACGAAACGGCCGTCCAGTGCTTCCAGGTTTTCAATTGTGATGGTCTAACATCAATCGGTTCACGATCTCAATTAATTGATTATGTTTATCAGTGAATAAGAACCAGAGAAAATAATACAAATCTTTTTGTAAATTTCTATACATTATTCATAGAATTATTATTGAATAAAATAAGTACATTTATGATATGCATCTCAATGCCTTTAACCAGTGTTTAGTTTATATTAAATAATTTAATGATTAAACGACGGCAAATACTAAACAATAGACTGTAATATGTATTTTCTGATGTTTGTTTTTTTAATCCATCTGTTTTACCATTTATTATAATGAAAGAAATCATTCATGAAATGATTGTATTTTTTTCGTTAGCTATAACCAGTGTAAAACGTCATTAAGAACAGTGATCTAAAAAATCTCATACGCATAGTTCCCTTTATCATTTTGTATAGAGCAAGAACAAAGTTTCTAGCAGAATAGCATGAATTCACTTTATTTCGTAGGTTCTCGTCAGCTGCTTACAACCTGTGATATTTAAAAATCATAATTGCATAATGGGTTTGAATTACTTACAAGAAAACGTTTGGTTGGAAGTTATATTGAAGATATATTATAAATATATACCTTATGTAAAAGAACATTCTACAACATTGATTCAAACGGCTAGGAACAAGTGATTACATAATGAATAAATATTGATAAGAATATAGTGTGTAGATCTCAGTTGATAAAATGTTGTAGAATGTCCTTTCATATAAGGTATATATTTACAATATTCAGTTTATTAATTTTATTTACACCCTTGCTGTACTATACGAATATGTCCTGAATACAACTTGCAACCAAACTCTTTCATGTAAGTAATTTATACCCATTATGTGATTAGGATTTTAAATATCACAGGTTGTAAGCAGATGATGAGAACCTACGAAATAAAAATGAATTCATGCTATTCTGTTAGAATCTTCATTCGTGCTCTTTTCAGTATAAAAGATCGTTACAAAAATTTGAGCACCTAAGCTTCTTTAATTTTCCCATATAACGATAAAAATAACTTATCTAAAGCTGTCACACTCTTAGTCAAGCTGCATTACGCTGTTCAGTGACGAATAATATCATGTCACTGTATTGTCAATGTTCTAAGTAACAATATTAGTCGAGATTGGATTTTTGATATCACTACACTTGAGTTGTTTCATACACTTTGTCTCTCTTAAAGTTCATGTACTTTAAGCAATTACAGAATGTTCATTATGAAGAACTATTGTCTAAATTCCTAGTTGACTGTATTTTTAAAGATCACTGTTTCTCTATAATTCACTTCTCCTACATTAGATTGAAATGTTTTGCTTACAGGATTACTTTCGTCTTAGTAGCTTATGAATATAGACGATTTAATTCATTATTGCTTTCTTTTTAAATACTTCTGAATGTTTTGTCAAATGAACTGAAAAGTGATAATTCTAAAAGATCCATATTTTTACAGTTCATGACAGTATTTGCAAGTGATTTAACATACTTGTTTCATGTAAAAATTTCAAAGATTTGTTGTGATATCTTTGTCTCAAAAAATGATTTTTGAGTTCAGTAAAAATCAACTATTTCAACCCTATACATTAGACGAAACAAATTAAAAATAATCTTACATGATTTCAGTGTACATATTCAACTACTTACCTGTATCATAGTTTAAACAATGTAATTAAGTAACCAAATGTAGATTTATTTATTCGGCTAAGTCATCTACTTAGGGATGTGTTAACTAATGACACGTCTTAGATATTCAGACTAAAGCAGGTTGAGAACAATTCAAACATTCATTTCAGTATTTTAACGAAAGATTGATTTTGATGTTTGTCTACTACTCCTAAAAACACTTACTTGCTTACTTACTTACTTACGACTGTTACTCCCAATGGAGCATAGGCCACCGACCGGCATTCTCCAACACACACTGTCCTGGGTTTTCCTTTCCAGTTCTATCCAATTTTTGTTCATTATTTTCATGTCTGTCACCATTTCTCCACGTAATGTGTTCTTTGGTCTTCCTCTTTTTCTTTGACCTTGAGGATTCTATGTGAGGGACTGTTAAGTGCTTTCTTCAATGTGTGTCCGATCCACTTACAGTGCTTCTTCCTGATTTCCCCCTTCGCTGGGATCTGGTTTGTTTTCTCCCACAATAGGTTGTTGCTGATAGTATCTGGTCAACGGATCTGAAGTACTTTGCGTAGACAACTGTTAAAAAACACTTTTATCTTCTGGATGATGGCTTTTGTAATTCTCCAAGTTTCCGCCCCATACAGTAGAACTGTTTTGACATTTATATTGAAAATTCTGACTTTGGTGTTGTTTGACAGTTGTTTTGAGTTCCAGATGTTCTTCACTTGTAAATATTCTACTCTTGCTTTGCCGATTCACACCTCCGCCTGGAGCCCCTCTGAGGTTACTCCCGGTCTCAAGCCCGGATAAAAGAGGAGGATTGAGCATGGGGTTAGCGACCCCATCCCGTAGAAGACTAACTCGTTAAAAAACGCTAACCAGAAAAAATTATTGAAACCTAAAAACACTATGTATACTTAAATAGACCAACGAATAACTGATCACTATTAGACGTTGAGCACTTTATTTATTAGGCATGTTGAATATTTATATCGTAGAGACAGGATTAACTAATTAGAATTTATCTGAAGGGGTTTTTGTGGAGGTTGTAATAATTTCAATAACAGAGATCATGATTCAAATTGAAGCTAAACCACAATGGAAAACCTGGAAGCACTGGATGACCGTTTCGTCCTATTGTATAGAAAGGAAAATGAGTTTAAACAGTTATAAGTCAATAAATAGTTAACCATATTATAAATAATCAACTTCTAAGAACGATTTCGGCATGATATAAACCATTTACTTGCTCAAAATAAGTTAAGAAAATCTTGTTATTAATAATTATTCATTTATAAACAATAAATATATCAATTCAGATCACGTCAATTTTTGAATCATCTTTCGAAAAACATAAGATGAATAAACTCTGAATTAAATGATTTATGAAACTGAAGTCTAAAGAGTAAAAATTATTTTTTTCCAATTTCGTTTGTAAGAAAAGAAATAGTGCCATCCAATTGACGATAATTAACAATATTAAAAGTTTGAAGAAATAACAAATCAGTGTACATGAGGTTGTAAATCTTGATTTATATATGAGATAAATGTTTTTGAGCTAAGTTGTTTTATGATTTTTTTGTTCAATTTAATGATAGTTTTCGACATTAGATGGCGCTTACTTGGAAACCATTGAAGATCAAAGAGAATCGAATAGCATTTTGTCCCAGTTTAAAACTTCTCAAGAGTGTACCCCTATGACCGTATCATGGACCAATTTTAAACCACCGTGTTAGTATTTAGGTACTTGATATTTCTAACATCAGTTCATTCAAAACATCGATCAAACACAAGTCATTGTTGACTTAGTATTTTAAATGTAACTTGCTCTTTTGTATTTGATCGTTGGTTGGATTATCAGTTCAAAAGAAACTGAAAAAGTTTAACTAAAACATGAGCTTTTAAATTATGCAGGCAATAGGCTGAATTAGTCGTCCAATTCAATAGTTTAAAATGACTACTTTATTTTTTCAGCTGAAGCTTTGTTTTGACCTTTAATTATTGACTCTTCTCAATGTATCATACATTTTAACACTTTAAGAACATGGTAAAAACTCCCGGGTAAAAGGTTTATTACGCATGCATTGCATGTCACGGAGTGTTTTGAGGAATCATTGTTCCTCGGTTTTGAACTAAAATTATTTTGCATAACTTTAATTTATACGTTTATAATTCACCTTTTTTCAAAAGTACATGGAGTTCGATCTAGTAGTTAAATCGATTGTAATCTAGTTATTTTAGCTAACCAAACATTAAACAAATAAAAACGTACAGCTTATCAAGTTTGTGTTGAAGTAC